TCAGTCACTTGGTTATTTTTCTCATTCCTTTTTCTATTGACACATTCTCCTTAATATATGTTCTTATTTCATGTTGGATTCAACAGCTAATTTCTTAGCTTCCAACCAGTCACCAGTTCAAACATTCTGGAATTCTACCGGCAATCATTTGGTCCACAATTCTCCCCTGAAAACTTTCCACCAATCCCCAAGTTCTTCCACAGCATCTCATTACTCAGCACCATTTATCATTATTCTTTTGTTTGTAGTTTGTTTTAACTCCCCTTAGAGATAAACTTCCCTAGTGACTACAAGAGATTATCCCAGTTAAATAATTATCACTGGAAGAATCTTTTGGTTGTTGTACCATTGGTCAATCACCTGATGCTGTAAAATATTTTTGTTTTGCAACAATTTTTCTGTAATGATAGTTTGCCCTATAACTGAAAATACTTTCAAGCTCTCTCTGTATTTTTAAATAGTTTATATTATATAATCTTCCTTACACTCCAAATGAAATACAGAATGGATTTCTGGTTTTCTATAACATGGTCCATAAAGCACACATTTTCCCTTTAGTTGCCTCCACTTAAGACTCAACATAGTATTGTGTCAATTGTAAGCAAGTGTTCATTAAATAATAGATTGGGGGGCAGGAGGGTTATGATCTTTCAATTAGTGAGAAAAGAAGGAAACATTGGCCAAACTGGGGAACAAGAAATTACCCTCAATTTCACGATTACTTAGACTCATGCTGATTTGGGCTAATTTATTAATTTAACGTTTGAATTTATTCCTTATAATGATGTAATAACATACATAATTTTTGGTCTTCATTTTTACTTTTCTGTATGTCTTAGAGTTTCCTAGGACACAGAATCTAATTTTCATCATAAAGGTTGCTCATTTCTTCCTGAAACAGAATTAATTTCTTCCAGTATATCATTATAGCAATTGATTCATATTTCTCTTGCAATATATGTATCACATTTTGTCATAATTATCTGTTTCCCATAGTAGATTGTGAGCTCCTTGAGGGCAGGAACCATGTCTTAATTCATCTTTTTTTTTTCTTTTTAATTTGCATCCATAGGACAAAGTAGAAACCTGGCATGTAATAGGCATTGTATGAATGAGTGAGAGCCTGGTATATTAGGTGCTGAGTGAATGAGTGAGTGATGGGTAAAATTAACACTATATATTAATGAAAATATGTGTATTCTGAAAATGTTATTTCTCTGGTCTCTGTTTTATATTTGTTTATTAATTTGTACCCTGCCTACTGTCAAAAAGGATTTGAGGTATCTTGTCTGTTCCCATGTGGGATATTGTCATTGAACTTTTTATATGGGATATCAGAACTATTAAGCTAAATGTATTGAAGTAATGTAGAATAAACATAACTCCTTAGCATTTTTAGACAAGCGAACATTGGGGTTTTGACATCATTGATAACATGATCAATGCCTAATCATTTTCCCTGACCTCTAATTCCATCATTTTCCATTATGCTTGAATTGAATATAGAGAGCCACATAGTTGATGCCAACATATTAATAGTCACAACATTGGTTCAGATCTTGACCTTGTTTTATATTTCTTTAGTCGGCGTGGTGCAAGCCTAATGGAAGATGATGAAGAGCCAATTGTTGAAGATGTTATGATGTCCTCAGAAGGGAGGATTGAAGATCTTAACGAGGGAATGGATTTTGACACCATGGATATAGACTTGGTAAGAAACTTAGTGATTTCTGTAAGATTTTCCAAAGTTTAGACTCTTTGGAAATTAAGTTGGATATTTATTAGAGAAGAGAAATACTTGACATGAGAAGTAAGTTTTGCAAAATCTATAATAATAAAAGTGTAATATGCTAATTAGACCAGCCATCCTTCTGGACGAAGCTGGGGCTGCGAGGGAAGCCTGGGTCCCGAGTGCCAGAGGGAAACCTGTACCGGCAGCGGGGGAAGGAAGGCCTACTTTTGCACTAATTTCATGCATCAGGCCTCTAGTTATTAACATCAAAAGGTGAACATGAAATTGTTAACAGCGCCTTTCTCTGGGTAATAAGACGATAGGTAGGGGAAAAGAAGATACTTTTTTTTTTTCCATTTTAAGCCCAATGAGTTATTCAAATTGAATGCAGTGGAGTGCATTGTTTTTATAATAAAATTAATAATTAAATAAACACTGGCACACATTTTAAGTACTTGGGATAGACATTAAACATCAATACAGTACACCTTAAAGGGTTAGCAGTTACTGTGTTGGGATTGGACTACAGGACCCTCATCTGCCACAGCTGTTAGCCAACCTGTGCCATCAGCACCCGTTCTTTTTGAGAACATTTGCAGCTGCCCAGTCTAGACTCTCAGTAATCCTTTGGTATTTTATTTGGTTCTTTTCCTGCCGGGGTTAGCAGTTTCAGGCCTCAGATTGCTTATCTTCTTTCTGGCAGGTTAAACGCTTCCTCTTAAAAATAATTGCTCTTTTTTTCCCGGCGCGTTTCGGAGGGTTTTTGCACTCCGTCTGGCTCTTCCCACCTGATCAGACCTTTTCCTCTTAGAACGGCTGGCCCTGGTAATCCGCTTTCTTCAAAGTCCGGCCCTGCTCTTTGGCTGTTTGCTTTTTGGCTCATAATCAAACATGTATCTCCAGCCAAAACCGGTTTGGCTCAGTGGATAGAGCGTCAGCCTGTG